TGGCGTCGCTGGCAACGGGACTCTGCTACGACATTCGCATGCCCTATCACTGTGAAGTCAAGCCGACCCTGGATGTTCATCCGGAAGACCCAAGGCGCATTTATTACATCTACAAGGAGCTTTGCAAGGCTGGGCTTGTGGATGATCCCGAGTCATCGCGACCGCTAGTTCCCCAGCCTCTACAGCGCATAGACGCGAGAGAAGCGACTGAGGAAGAGATATCGTTGGTGCATGATGCGGAGCATTATGATTTTGTGCAAAGTACAAAGTGTGAGTTTCTTTTGCTCTTTCTTTAGCCTGCGTTTGCTTCAATGTTGCTCAGCTTATTTTCTTTTCTGTTATAAATAAATTACGCAACACACCCAGGTCTTAACATTTTCCCAACACAGTCATGCTTGAGGAGGAGTTAATTGCTCTCGAGCACACGCGGGATTCTATTTATTTCAATTCCCTCACTTTTACATCTGCCGTTCTCTCATGCGGTGGTGCCATCGAGACCTGTATGGCTGTCGTGGATCGGCAGGTGAAGAATGCTATTGCGGTCATAAGACCTCCAGGACATCATGCGGAGAGAAACAAGACTATGGGGTTCTGCTTGTTTAATAATGTTTGTGTTGCAGCGAAGGTGTGTCAGAAAGAATTTGGGGATAAGTGCCGGAAGATATTGATTTTGGACTGGTATGTAACTCTTCTTGTTTTCAATTTCCTGTGACGCCTCCATCCTGTGCGCATTCAAAAATTTGTCCTATGTAGGTACGAAAACGGGTTAGGTAAGCTAACGTTTGAGAACAGGGACGTACATCATGGTAACTGGTACTCTTGCTTCTGAAGTTTCCTTCATCTCCGTCTCACATATAAGTAGGAAACGGTATCCAAAAGGCCTTTTATGATGACCCAAACATCCTCTATATATCCATCCACGTGTATAGAGACGGTTCCTTCTATCCAGGTGGTGAAGGGGGTAATTGGGACCGTTGTGGAGCGGGGAGCGGGCTGGGAAAGTAAGTTCCTCTTTCGTTCGTAAGACAACCTCTCCCTGTTTATTTTCTCTTTTGGCTCACTACTGGCTACAGGAATATCAACATCCCTTGGCCAACACAGGGCATGGGCGATGGCGACTACATGTATGCCTTCCAGGAGGTCGTGATGCCAATCGCTTATGAATTTGATCCGGATCTGGTGATCAGTATGTTTTTCCCCTTATACAATGAACCGGCTCATTTTTCCTCTCTTGCATATGTTAATAATGAA